TATGACTGATTTGAGACAGAGCAAAGATTTTTTTTTAAACTGATTGGTTACATTGATTGGTTTTGAAGATTCCGTTGATGAGGACTGTACCAACTAATAAGCGTTGTGTTTATTTGCTTAGTGGTTATAACAGAAACTTTAAAGTGACTGATACATTCGTATAGATATAACATTTTACATCCTTTGTGGCTCAACTGGGATCAAATCTATAAAATATTAATATTTCATAAAAACTATTAGACTTTGATTCTTACGAACATAGTGTAGAAGGCATTATACATCTACTGGTGAACTGAAAGATCTTGACATGATGTTTAGACTATTCAAAATTCTCCCGAGTTCGATGTAAAGTACCTACTAAGTAATCATTATTTAACTTCAGCATAACTCTTTGGCACTACTGAAACTCTGTTTACTGTTTGGATAAAATTAATCATCGTTAACTAAGTTCCTGACTAATTGAATGTGGTTACAATAATTTCAACCCGTTTGTAAATGGAATTCATGCTATATTTGCCAAAGCCTGACCGCAAGGCAAGTTATCGTTGCCACGCACCAAAAAGCCATCTGAATCCGCTATTCACCCTAGAGAGCTTTGTGCGAATACAAAGGAGTTTTAGTTTAATGTGATCCGAGAGCCAACCAACCCCAGGGGCGGCATAACCTGCGTACCACACATAAAACTATAGGTACAAGTTACACAATTCCTCGACGCCTATAAAAATAAATGTATTTACCGTTTCATAACGTTACATTATGTGAATCAATGGAATATAAAGAGACGGAAATGTGTATATACATAAAAAGCACAGCCTTGGTATTCCAGTGCTTTATCGCGGTTTTACAGTTGTCATCAAAGCCGACGCACTGCTGTAAAGAAATATTGTAATACTGGGACATTATCAAAATGTAAGTTCAGTTTTAATCCTAAGAAATTAAAAATATGATGGTTACTCACATGGATTTTTATTTGTATGCGTTTGTACTTTGTTTAATTATTAAATGTATGTTGGTTAGCTATGGATGATATGATTTATGGATAATACTTTGCAACAATTAATAGGATTTATACCTATATTTTTTTTCATCTAATGCAGAAATTGTTAGATATTAGTTTTCTACTTATAAAGGATAAATTATACCCATATTTTATGACAACAACTAAACAAACAAATAAATTATATATAAATACTTTGAAACTAACATTATTATTTTTTTAAACATTGTTTACTGTTATACTGAAATAATTTTCAGATCCTAGTTACGGCTCAGTAGTTAGTTTATTTTTTATATTTATTTTTAAAGAAAGAAAAAAAACATAGCTATTTCAGAGTATAAACTACTCTGAAAAAGCTATGTTTTTTTTTAAGAGAATTCTATTCAAGTTTGCATCTTTATAGTCTTTGAAATTTCTATTTTATATCATCTTATAATCAAGCAAATAATTTATTCATGTAGGATATTTTAGCATATTTTATGAGTTAAAATAATGCCAAACTTAGTTAATAAATAAAGACAGCTTAAATATAGCAATAAATCTAGTAAATTGAATGATAACAATAATAAATTGAATGAGGCTAGTGAAGTAAACTATAATAACGAATGACACAGTAGAGCATGTATATCTACTAGTACGAGTAGAATCTCGATTCACTGGCAATTGGCACTTATTGTGTAAGAGATTCAATACTACGTGTAACTTAATTGGAAATATATAGGGTTTGTCGTATACCAATCGGTTTTCTCATTCCTGAGGGTCGTGACTGTCCCACAGAATCTAATGTATAAGTATATTTCTCTGTGGCAGTCTTTTGCATCATCGGCATTCTGTTTCGTAGTATCCAATGATTCAGATCATCTTTTGGGGTTACATTTTCTAGGATATTTGCCATCTACGCTACCTGTTACCATCAGCTTTTCTACGTCATTATACTGAGCGATGTGACCAAAGAACTCCAGTACTCCTTGAAGACATATGGTAGAGAGTTTGATTTTAATTTTCATAGAACAGACGCAATGGTGCGCTATTTTATGGGATTTGCAGCAATTTTTTTCTCACTATCTCAATGCAGGTTTGGTCTGCTTTCTTTAGAGTTTATTAATAATTGTTAATGTGAACCGATTACATTTTTCCTACTATGCCTCTTTATAACTAAATTTGCAATATAATATATTACCGAACGACGTTACTGTCCCGTTTAATAGTCGGTTTATTTGTTTTGTTCATAAAATTTAAGATATTTAGTTAATTCATTCCTAGGGATTTCAATTATTTTAAAGTAACTTCTTAAAATATAGTATAGTATATACTTCCTTAAAGTAAAATATAATTAAATACTGTTAAAATATACCTATTTCGCTTTTGTACAGAAAACTTTTTTCTACCAACGTATTCTTCCAAGTTAGTTCTTGAAAACTTCTCGTCGCATTTAAATGTATTCTGGTGGTACTTGCAATAGAACTAAGAGTAGGTGCATCATACTTACAGAGAAGAAATAAGCGCAAACTTATTTAATTTTACTGAATTGATAGTTTTCCGCAACGTATGACTATGACTGTAGATGTGAAAGTTTCTGAAGATATCTGAACGTTGGATGAAATAATTTGGCAGAGACGGACTATATCATAAATTAATCTTAGTAATGCATATATCTATGCGGAACATTTGGATATTTAGAGCAGAGCAGGCAGTTGGAAGGATAGCTTTTAAAATTCAATATTGAAGCCAAGTCGGGTAAGCATTTTAAAAAGTTTTCGACGCAGCCCGGATATTATCTAAGTTTATACATAGAACTATGTAATTATATTTCTTAGAAGTAGGACAGAAGATCCAAAAATTTTTAAAATAAATAAGTATTTAGGCAAATAGTCGATGTATGTACTATGGACGAAGTTTCATGTTATAGATATTATAATTGTTTTAAGTATATGCTAAAGCAGATTGACAAAAAATCTGAGGTGAATTGAAATTAATATGTAACAACAGACATATCTTAAGAGTTGTGTTTTCCACAAAAACATGGAAGATATTAGTATTTCTGGATACCAATATAATTTATTACATAGAAATAATAAACAAATTGCTTACTGGTGGAACTATTTTGTAGAAATATAAGTTACGTTTCTGAAGGTTAAATAACAATATCTGGGAACTGAAGGGTATCGCATGCAAGTTGATAGGGCGAAAGCCTTCGCCCTAAGAAGCCCTTTAGAAACCTCCTTCATTGTATTAGTATAAGTTTACTGAGTGTAAATTACGGCAAGTTACTTCATCAAGCCGATAGTTTCAGATTACAAGTGAAAAGTCTTTCTAAATATCATGTATGTAACAATTTTAATACTGAGAAATAGTTGAAGTTGTCAATATAAATTTCATGCATCGTGTAACACATTGTAGTAATATCTGGTGTGATGTTCTTGCTTCTTGATTTAAGATTTAAGCTATGTTACTTATTTAATGCGTGCTTATTAAGATAGATACAGAAGTAGTACGATTGAAGATCTTTAAAATCTTATTTTTATTTGTTTTAACCTGGTTGTCCTACTGCTCGGAAAAATAATAATTTCAGACTATTCTAATGCTGTTGGCCATAGTTAGCCTTTACATCTTGATACTTCAAATTCGCTGAAGGACTTATGGAGCGGCTGAAGGCCGACTCCTGCTTGACGGCTACGACTTTAGTCACCGCTAGGGGTTTGAACTTCGACTAAGGCCGTCGCAATTTCAATCCATGTTGGAAGCGGATGAGGAATCGATCTAAAGTTCTCCACCGATCGATCCTCTATCCAATTCTGCTCGGCAAAGGTATCATTGTATAGGTTAAAATTTTATATTAAATATGGAATAAAGTATATATATAGATTAAAAAATAATCTTTAATCTCTGTGGTTAAGCACACTGCCTTACGCATGATGGTACAAACATTTGTATTTATGAGTATGATTGTTTGTATCGATCTGGGTATTTTCTATCTATATAAATAATATATATATATATATATATATATATATATATATTTATATATATATTTATATATAAAATACCCAGAGTATTGACAAAAAATATCTATGTAATTATATCAGCTGTTTAGTACCCATAACATAAGTTTTGCTTAGCTTGGGCCAATCTGGTACTGTGTGAATTGTCCTAGTATTATTATCATATCTATGTAAGTGACGTAATGCACGTCCTAGCTGTATATATTCTATTTGTACACTTTATTTAAAATAATAAAGTGTATAAATAACAGATCAAGTCTTATTGCGGAAATGTATGTGATCACACGCCTACGTAATTTCACACAGTAAGCGGATCCATTGGCTACGAAACCCGACAAATGACAACTTACTGGTTATTTCAGCGTTTTCTTTCCTTCACCTTGAATCTTGTATTCAGTTAAGGTTATGCAGTAATTGTTCATAAATTTTGTTACTGGAAAATGTTGCAATGTAATGTTCACAGTAATTGTAATGTTAATTAAGTACATATTTTTACTAGCTTATACCAGTGACATTGCTGCATATTTTTAGTTAAAAATTTTACTTTGTTTGTGATACTATTTACTTTAATACAAAATTTAATTAAGATCCTTCCCACATAGTTGTAAAAAGATAACAAAGAGATAGGCAGGCGAGCAAACCTAGGTTCATATTATAATATTAGTACGGATAGTCTACCGAGTTATAAATATATGTTAATGCACGGATAGCTATATAGATTCTGCTCTACTGGATAGAATAATATATTTACGCTTATAATAAAAACTAGATGACCCGTGCAACTTCATCTGCGCCACAGTTTCCTCGTTTTGTAACATTTTGCATTGCCGCTGCACTCTTATTGATCATTGCGTGATTTATATATAAGTATCCATCTACGTCTGGTACCTATAACCCAAGTTCAGCTTTGCTTGAGACTAGATGGCGCTGCGTGGACTATCCAAGGTTACTAAGAAATAATAACATTTCTGGCCTTCAATAAGTTTAAAGTAACAATTTACCTTTTTTTCCTGGCGACGTGCAGTTGCTCTTGTTAGAGGGCGATTTCGTTTCGGCGGCCATTTTCTCTTTTTCAGAAGCCATTTTTATGCAATTCACTCGCCGAGAAGCTCCCAAGTTACGCGGCGTGATCTCACACGCAGCCTCTCATCACTATCTTAGTAAGTTTGCAGAAAAAAAGCTATATTAGGCCCGCACGCGTCCGTACTCAAGGACTATAGTACACTAATTTAATGGATAATGGGCGATGACTGATTTCTGATGACTAAAATTGGCAAACAGCCAAACTACATTATTGACTTTTAGTCACAAAACTATGCGACCGCTATAAAGTAAATACGGATTTAAAGAAAAAAATGTTCACTTAGAGTTATTTATTTGTTTTAGTTCTGACAGGTTTGGTAGAGCGCCGAGCGGTTAGACTGTTAATTCTATGTTGATAAAGTCAGCATTCTTTTAAGTAGACCTGACTACGTGAGGTACTAATTATGTATGGATCACGCTGCTCTCGCGGCGTGACTTATTTTATGTGTATATTGGGATGACATTAATCTATAACAAATATAAGTTAAACTAACTGCTTATTAAGTTAATTTGCGCTAATTTTTGATTAAATAAGTGTCTCCTTACTAATTAACATGTTGCCAGAAAGGCCATACTTATTCTGTTTAAGGTTTTCCGCATGATAGTCATGGAATATTTACGATGGATTTATTTGTTACACTATTTTAAAATTATGATATTAAAAAGAAGACGTTTACAATAGTTGATATACATATAAGATAAAAGTTTTAGACAAATTTCTATCGAGTTATATTGTCGTCGATCAAAACTTGATATTATATAAAAAATCTATAATAAATGATTGTTGATGGATCCATATTACCCTACGAGTATTTTGTTTTATAAACTTGTAACGAAGGACTTTAAATATAGATGTAAAATAGGATTTATTCCATGAATCGAATTTTAAGATATCGCTCTCTGTTGACATTGGCTATAAAAACGAGATCTATGGAAGCAAAGTGGGGTAGTTTAAGATAAGTACTGTAATTAGTAATTATTCAGTTTAAAGAAAGCCAGTTAAATTATATAAGAATAAAAACAAAGGGGAAATAATAAAAACATTTTAAATCATAATAGTTGATGTAATATATATGTAATATTAAGTACATAAAACGTTTGATACATGTCTTAAAATAAGAAACTTAGTTGAAGTAATAATACCACATTAAAATAGAAAATTACCAGGATTGATAAATTAGGTTGCCTAATTTATAATTAAACTTCTATATTAGGCATAAAGCGTACTGCTCCCATGTTTAATTTTCTAACACAATGAATCCTATAAGCTTAATATTCTTTGTAAGCGTGCGGCTACGGAACAGCGCTCATATAATACCTAAGACTAAAAATATTCGAGGTTTAGCTATAAAAAGGGTTTAATATTCGTTGTTGCCTGAGGTGTACCTATTAAAATAACCTTGATAAACCCAGGCCATTTATGGAAAGCAAACGTTAGAAAATTATCAATTTCCTTTGTCTTGATATTTTTGTTTGAATTTGATAAGTAATCAGTATTTTTTGTGAAGCAAAAACACAAGATATGTTAAACGGCGTGAACTTAAAATTACTTCAACAAAGTTATAATCTAATCATATTTTACAGCCATGAATATTCAGAAGAGAAGGTAATCATTAATATTACTATTTTTACGTTTATTCCGTAAATAATGTATGTATTATATACTAATAATATGCTATGAATGGATATAAAGAACTACAATGAAATACTGGGAAGTGAAAATGTGAACGAATTTATATAGTACCTACTTGGTTCTATTCATTTTTCAGTAGTACCGACGCTGCTTATCTATTTCGACTCTATTTTCACTACAAGAAAGTCGCTATTGGTATGAATGAATGAGATACTACAATGCTCCGGTGTTCCGATACTCAACGAGGCTGTGTGCGTGTAGCGCCGATTGTTATAACTTTCAGTGCAAAATATTAAATAGAAGTAATTAAGAAATAAGCAAACAGTTCTCTTGTAAGCGGGAACACCGACAGGTTTTCTAGTTTATAATAATATCAAGCATACGATAAGCATATTTAGAAACCTGGGTGTACACCACGGCGACACTCACACATAACCTGTCAATATGTACGCACGAAATCTCAAATGTTACGTAAGCGGGCACGATTATAACCTGCAACACTGTCGATTACTGTTATTGTTGTGGAGATGTGATCGGATGAGGGATATGGACCTTAAGGAGGGCGCGTGCGGGCTGTCGACGGCTTGGGCGCGCTTCGTGCGGTTATGAGGAACGTGTGGAATTCGCGTGCAGCGCGCGGTTGGCGCGCGCGTTGAGGCCCGGCTCGCCGGAGGCTGCGGCCCGGGCGGGATCGATGCGGGCAGCGGGCGGCGGCGGAGTGCAGCAGCTGGGAGGCTGCGCCGCGCCCCGCCCCGCCCCGCGCGCCGCGCACGCGCCCTCCAGCTCGCTCTGAGCCCTTGTCCGCGCCCGCACGGCCACCGCCACCGCGCCGCCGCGCCGCCGCCGGCCGCCCGTCGCCGCCGCCGACCGCCGACCGCCGACGATTCAATTCCCTCCTCATCCCGCTCTGATTTACGATATGTTCGTCTTACAATGTTATTTTTTGTCTTTATGACATACAGGCAGTGGGTACCTATGCACGAATTAGTTATCACTACTTTCTCCATGAAAATAATTTTCAGTAGCCATGTTTCATTACTTACAGAGAGATAGCTGAATGTGTTCATTAAAAATAACACAGACTTTTATAAAAGTTTTAAAATGTTTGTAATGAATATAAGCCTGTGATAGCATTCATGTTTGGAACGTTTCGTACTAAATCGATCATGTGACGGTGCAGTTTATAGGAATATTGAAAGGTTCAAAATAGAATTGCAGCTTTCTATTTTTTTGTCGTGGAAAATTGTATTGTATTATAAATAATGCGTATTCGTATATATCATTCGTATTCGTCGGCTTCGTATACTATTTATTATTAACCCTGTATATGTTATTTTAATATGAATTTAGAAAAAACAAGTAAATTCTTAATTAGATAATTATTTTATAGAATTATAATATTATTCCCCAAATTTAGTTTTTCTTTATTATTACGTATTTTTATTGGATTTATGTTACACACTAATATTTAGTTGTGAATTAATAATACTATTTTCAATTTTATATAGATAGTTAATGTGTTTAAATATACAGTAAGCTGGCATAAAATATTGCTGACTCATAAAACGTTACACGTTCGATCTCGATATTCATCGCGGCCCAGTTGGCCTATTTATCCATGTTTGTTGTCCTTACATCTGGCGTGAGATGTTTAGATAATTAATGCTACTTTACTTACTGATACAAGTGGAACATTATTATCAGCAAACATTTTGATGATATTGATAAAATCCATATATTATATTCTGAATGGATTTTAATGTTAGTAAGCTTACTTCGAAATTTAAGTAGTTCTATAGGTATATAGTCAGAGACGAACAAAGCACTATGATATATATGATATATGACTATAGAGTCAAGAGAAGGAAAATTCTTCAGCGAGCCGTATGGGTAGCATAATTCTCTAATATTCTCCATCCATGTCTAACAAAATGGAATTTTGTGGTAGTTATGGTATCGTATAATAGTATTTCTTCTTTTCATTCGATACGTTCTTAACAGAACGGTTGTGTTATGTAGTGGGTACGAGGTTGATGTCATCTGTCATATGACAGCTTGCCATTTGTTTCTACTGGCTACCATTCTGGTACACTAGAGGATGATAGTATGGATAGGGATTTAGAGTTATAAATTAACAACGATGATGAAATTAAAAATAAGATTCACGTGAAGTCCCTATACATAATATAAGTCCCGCAGTTAAAAGAGGCCTCCGTGGCCTCTATTAACTGATTCTTCTTTAAAAGTATAAAGTAGTTTGTCAGTTAATTTAGTTATTAATAACATTATTGTAGATACAATTTCAAGTTCTAGCCTTATGAGGACGCCCCAATTCGTTCAGCGAGCGATGAAAAGGGCTATGTTCGGAGTTTCATTGCCTGACAGAATTGGAAATGAGGATATCTGCAAACATTTGTGATCCACAAGGATCAGCATGTTCTCGTGACAGTGGGTCAATCAACCGATAACCGACGGGGTAAAAATATTTTCTAGTAGACACCAAGTTAAATATTATATAAATATATAGAATTGAATGAAAATTCATGTAGATACATTATAAATATTCAAGTCATACCGAATCTATGGAATCGTCATCGAAGTAGAATGTAATTTAAGTCAAGAACAAAAGACTAGAATAAAATCCATTACAGATCAGTGAAATATATTTTAAAATAATTAGACTTCAACTATACATTGAACATGAAGAATAACATTTATATTTATGATTATACAAAAATTACTACTAAATATACTTGCACGCAGGAAGACCTGAACATGACGACCGATGTCATGTGTGATGATGTGCCATTGACGTTGCTAGGTCTAAACATATATAGATTTACAATTGACATGAAAGAAAATTGTTTCTGCGAAGAGCATCATATGTGATGATCATATAACATACTGTAAACGTAATGACAGGCATCTGTTCAGTGGTGAAGTGATTATGAAATAACGATGTTATAATTACTCCTCTTTATCCAAAATTTGCCTTGTCGAGGTCACTATTAAATGTTGGGCCCCTTGCCGTTACTTTTATCTCGTTCAATGATATGGTTGTGTTTTCTGCAAAACAGTTTATACAATTATATATATATATTTATAAAAAGGTTAACGAAGAATTATGATTTAATTACATCACATGTGATTTTAATTTGAATATATTTTTTGTCTATATACGATTATTTCGCAATAACTGTCTACTTATGATATATCAATACGAGTAGTGTACAAATAATCTACGCTAAGATGGTCTTGTGATCTATTTTTTGAAGTGGTTATCTATCAACATATTTACCAATTGATAATAATCTTGTCACAAATGTAAACATTATTATCGTGAATCGGGAAAATGATCAAATTGACATCAGAAGATACATTTTATTATTAGTAAGACTCTAACTAGCAATGTCAGATCGATCTTCACGCGGTCTCTTCCTAAAACCTCGTGCTTCATTCTAGGAGTATTCGCCACGATGAGCTTATTGACCTGACTTCAAACTCATCCAATAAACCTAAAGTGGTAGTTTCCGATCCAGAAATTTTTTGTCAATTATTTCCTTACGATGGAAAACTTCTAAGACGGTTAAGAAAATTGTATCATGAAGCTTAGTAAATGTCAGCTGCAGTTAGGAGGATTAAAGATTTAATTATAAAGCATTAAAAATGAACAGGATGTATATATGTATTTTTGCTGGGTTCTTTTTATAAATATAAAATAGAAATTGTCAACTGCACGTATGTTAGGAATCAATATTCAATTACTTACATACAAATAAGGTTATAATTTGTCACTAAAGTTCAGAATATCACACTTTATCTGCCAAATAATCTTACAAGAATACATTTTAAATAGCTATTTATCAAGGACTGTAAGATATAAGCATATCAAATTACTTGATAGTGACTTAACGTTAATTGATATCATAAAAACGGACAATTTAGCATCCACAATGTGAATAATACAGTTTAATTTATTAGAATGGAACGAAAAGACAATAAAACCCCTTTAAAATGACTGCGTTCAGAAAATGGCTCCAGAGACATGTTCACATTGGTCGCAACGGATAGAACGCTATTAAGCTCGGGTATCCTCCACACTTAATATTATAAATGCAAAAGTGGATGTGGTCGTCTGATTATACTCGTACATGGTGGTTATTTTGCATTTAAAGTTTAGAAATGCTTTTCGAAATAAATAATAATTAATGATAAAAATACGTAGAAAATTGGAATGTATTGTTTGGAGATTGAACCTTCAAACTTTATCGATGAAGCAGTACCTAAAACTGCTATATCACTGTGTATAAGTCTGTGAACTAATCATATTTAAACTGAAACTCAAAATTAATACTAACAGGATAAATAAAAAACAAATCAAAAGTATATTAATATGAGTAATATTTCTACTAACAAATTCAATAGTATAGTTATAGCTAATAGGCAGTTGTGCTAAGTTCCGTTATTTTACAAATAAAATATTCAATGATAGAAAAGGTGAAACTGCTTAGAATTGTCAATAAATAGTTATATGTAATAGTTCTACATAATCTGCAGTATAATTTTTTTTATACAACTGTAATATCGAACAAGACAGTGGGCCACTTGATGTACTATGTACATGAACAGCACCATGTGCATCATTTTATTATATAATGACCATGACATTCCTCATGCGTTTGTACCCATCAGGCGGGAGGTGCCCTTCAGCGACTTTCACGGGTTTGGAGTACCATCTGCACTTGCCTCTTATCGTCCGGTGAAGCTGTAAAGGCCAGTTGCGGACAGCAGTATTAGAGTAGTTCGAAATTATGGTAATCAGGAGGATTAAGATGTTATGCCTTCGTATCCTATATTCACTGACTTACTTCATCCTTCAACTGAAATACAGCGTAAGGAAGCTGGTTGGTGGCTGAAATTAGTAGATCGAGGTACATACTCGTACACAAACGACATTTTACAAATTCCACCTCAGTAAAAGTACTATGTTTTATCATGCTTGCTTTTTTAAAGTACTTCGAGAATGCATAGTGGAAAGAGGGCATAATCTCCGTTCCGGTGTGCCTGACTCAAAGGATTTCCCCAGTAATGTACTCGGCTCGAGAATTCTTCAACATTTCGACCAGGAACGAAGCGGAACGAATTAAATGTAAGGGATGTTAGTTCGTTTTAACACATTATTCTTAAAAGCTTGCGTAGTCATTTATTATTTATGTATAGTAATTTATGAACGATATCAAGAAGTCGCTTTCGCTGTCTGTGCGCTTAGATATTTTAAACTACGCAATGGATTTTAATGTAGTTTTTAGCAATAGATAGAGTTACTCAAGAGGAAGATTTATATGTGTAATACATGTACACCAGTGCAAAGCCGGGGCGGCTAGCTAGTTTATTAAATATTTGTCCTTCAAGGGTTAGATAAAGGTTTAATTCATAAATAAATAGGTCTTAAACCACCAAATGTACTGTTACTTTTAGAACTGTGTGCATTAAAGTAATATAAAAATAAATAATTACTAGAAATTATTTTAGATTAAATGCCCCGTATAACACTTTTACAATAAAAATTACTGTTTATGTATTTATACATCAGTATAAATCTTGCTGTGAATATTATAAATGTTTTAAACATATTTTATATGTGTAACTGTATAAAATACAAAAGGTTTTTTTGGTGGAAACGCGGTGTGACGCGTAGAATTAATAAATTATGCGACAGAGTATGAAAATGCTTCTTATATTAATATTATTATACGTGACTGTACCTATAAGAGTACGTGACGGAAAATATACGCGATCTATGCAGAAAATGTACGTGATATATTTTTTCTTAAAAGAAATATAATTTAAATTATTAGAAAAAAACATCATTCATTACTCTGTTCACACTTTACCCATTTTGCTTTCATATTGTATCATATGTATATTATACATTATTGTATTAAAAATATAAAAGGCACCAGATAATTGACTTTTAACCTATTAAAATCCAGTGCATATACCTATTACACAGATATATATATATTCACCGTAATATATATTTAGAGTTCTGTTTTATATTACTTTTATTCGGTAGCTTTCCAGAATACTAGTTGAAGTATTTTCGATTTAAATTACAATAATAGCGCTCAAAAACCTATTAATACAAAAGTACTTTTTTAGACAATTTGTATAATTTTCTGTATTTTTAATGTCATAATTACACATCTATATGAGAAACAGCTAGCGGACATAAAAATACATATATACATATATGAATATCTCAGTTACAAGAGAGTCAGCAGATTATTATCCGGCTATTGTCAGTGGGAAGCCATACCTAATAGCTTATAGAGAGATATATTTTTTGGGATTTAAGACTTTTCCTATATTCTTTAATGGTATTTGTTAACATTAATGACCTTAATCTTGCACAGGTATAATAAATAATCTCTCTAAATCTATGGTATCAAGGGGCAAGATATTTCTTTTATAACGGAAAATCTCAAATGAATACATACTTAAGTAACATCAAAAATTCTTACATCATGGACCATTTTTAGTTAAATAAGTTAGAAATCCTTATAATAATTACAATTAAATGATGCCGCGATTAGTCTCAAGAACTAAATACCTAATAGTATTATATTGTATTATATAATAGTGGTCGGTGTCAGCAGATACATATCAAACAGAAAAATTAACATCGCCAATCGATCGTACCAATTTCCTAATTTAGTTAATTCTTATTAGATCACTATCGAAGAAAATAGAACAGAAATCAATGAAATTTATATATAATTTACAAAGTTATCGCATTACGTGAAGATAAATAAACTGGTGAGTTTATATTTTATTACAGTAGACTTTATTATAATACTAATATATACATTACGTTTATTATTTGATATAATTTGTTAAGTCTGAGCTTGTTCTATTAACTCAGAAAAAGGAACATTTTAGAATAAACACCAGAATCCCAAGAACACGGGACATCATGGGAAGAACTACGACATATATTTTAAGTAATCTTGCGAAATTTTATTCAATAAATTATAATACAGACAGAAAAAACTTAGATAAGTGTAAATAATAAAATTACCAGTAATAGATTCATTTACAAGATACTCATTTATAAGATTCTACCCACGAATGAATTGCTTACAGATCGTCAAAGAATATAATGATTTTATTTATACTTAATTATATGGAAAGCCATATTTATTTGATCATTACACAAAAAAATAGTTTTACAATGTTTTTACATATAAATTACGCTTAGATTGTGCTATCAGTAATATAAATGATTAAATTACCAATAAATAATAGTAGCACTTCATTCATAAGATTCTACGAATTTATTTCTAACGAATCGTCAAAGAAAATTATTCTTTTTATTTATAATGTTACGAAGAGACATATTCCTTTGATCATTACACAAACATAATTGGACGTTAATTGTTTGTAACGACATTGAATAGTAAATGGAGTGTAATCAATAAAACTATGATCAGGAGTTAAACGAGACAGTAATCGTTATTTTATGGTCACTCGAATGATCAATATCTTTGAAGTTATGACAGTAATTGTGCATGGGACATGTAATGTGACTATAACCAGACAACATAAAAATTCTTCACCTGACCGTTAGGACTTAAGAATTGCGGCTAGTAAAAGGTAAGGATTACATTTCGGTTCATAAAAATGTAATGTTAGACTATATTAAATGATACTTTATTCTCCATTGTTAATTTAATGAACCATTATAAATTTTCGTATACTCAATCAATCACAAACTCAGTCAATTATTTAATTTTTTGTATATGTTACGTGCGGTACGATATTGAATTAGCAGATGATATTTTATAGAAATCAACGGCTAGCAACAGAGTTTGACTTCAATCATGGAAGCACCGGAGCACCCGCGTTTCTTAATTATAAAGTTAATATTTAATTCTATTTAATCTACAAATTAGAAAGGGGTTTGTATTGTATAAATTGTACAAAGACTGTACCTGTAATAATTACTTATTTTTACATTTTCAACGTTTATTAATTTTACATCTACCTACGTATTTCTTTTAAAA